AAACCGTTGAAGCAGTTTTATAGAGAGCTTGACAAATTCTCCCCAGCAAATGAAATATCAAGGACAATTTACAAGATTTTTTTGGTGTGTGTGTGTGTGTGTTTTCAGGAATCATTTGCAAGTAGGAAACAAATGTTTTTTTCCCCCAGCATGGCTCTGAAATATAGTTTTCTAAATCTTGAGTTATGGGTTTATACCAAGGAATATAAGAGTGCTGGAAGCAATTTCTACTCCTCGTCTGCTTTACTGGGAAACAATAAAATTCCTTCTGTAGAACTCATTATAATGCTATAAATGGAATAAGGGAGTCTCATCATTTTTGGGTTCTGGGATGCCTGAATAATTTCATTCTCTGGTAGCATGTTTCTCAGAATTAACAAACCAGGACCAGGTTTTTACTATCACCTGGCTACATACAGGACTAGTATAGGATAGTTTTATTGTGGATGGATGCGTTTGCCTCTTGGGAATACAAAAGAAATGTTCTATGAACATGGTGCATATCTTCATTCATGGAAAGTGTGGAATGAATTCCCAAAGGCAGTATAGTGGCTAATCTGAATTCGTTAAGGAATTGTTTTATTAATTGTTCTGTGAAGAGCGTTCCTTAAAAATTGGAAATAAAATATAAAAAGGTGCTACCACACCAGACACAATAAAACTAGGCCAGTGCAATATTCTGCTTAGCCACAGAACCCTGCATTTCTGAATTGGAAAAATCAAACTGATATAGCTAACCACTTCTATTTTCACAAGATTCAGTGATATGTCCCCCCAAAATGATTTAGAAGTTGCAGTGAAATCAGTGGGGCATAATTGCAAGTAAATGTTTAAGAATGTTGGTCCTGGAATTGAATGCACAAATAACACTCTAGACAAAATAAGCAAGTTGGCCTGTTTCCAGTCCATTTTGCTCATAAGTTCATGAATGTATTTCAACCCATTTCTGAATTAATCTTCATTTAAAAATAAATAAATGCATGATGTTCTGCATTCAAACATATGTTTGAATATATAATTTTAAATGCATTTTCTCTCAAAATACATATTTCTAGCAATGCAGTTTTAGGCACGTCTACTCCAAAATAAGTACTGTTATGTTCAATTATACCTGGGAACAAGTCACAAGTAAGTCTGTGTAAAGGATTGCAACCTAAATGTTTTCTCTCTCAAAATTTGCACTTTAAAATATATTTTGGTACTTATTTTAAAAGTGAGAAGCGTGCTGGAACATTTCTGAAATACAAAAGATTGCAGACAACTAGGTTCCAATTCATGGTCCAGGAAGTGTGGAGCAGGTTAGTTCATAGTGACATTTGTAAAGATTAAATTACTCAAGCATGCCAAGTTCAGATTTCAAAGGGCCTTCAAGAAAACTACTCAGCTATTAGTAGTGAATTTCTTGACAGGCCTCACATCACATCAAAGGAAGTTACAAGAAAGCAGAGGCTGTGGAGAGAGTTTTTAAAACGCCCAAATCAATAGGAGACACTGTCCCTTCCTACAATTGCTAACATACATAATTGCATATTGCCTTGCCATCGTTAGTTAAAACAGGCTTCCCAAACCTGGAGACCACCAGATGTTAATGGACTAAACTCCCATCATCCCTGATCATTGCCTGTTCTGACTGGAGCTGATGGGAGCTGTAGTCCAACAACATCTGGAGTTTACCAGGTTGGGGGAAGGCTGAGTTAAAGAGATTTTTTTTGGGGGGGGGTCATGAGACTTTGCTCAAACTGTAATATAGAATGTCAACATCCCTTTTGACTGCCATGGAATCATTCCATGGCATCCAGTTCATTAGCATACAAGACTTCATTAGGTTCTGAAAACTTCTGTCAACTGACAATGTACTTCAGTTGCACAAAGTATAAAGGAGTCATTTACCCTTCTTCAGGGAAAGAGAAAAGTTCATTTTTATATTGTCACTCATCAGCACTCTTCATAAAGATTGAAGCAAGGGTAATTTAGCTCCTGCATTGCTCCAGAGCCTTGCCCACTGCAGGGGGGAAGAACAATTAGATGACACAAATGCTCATATACACTGTCAAGTTTAATTAAATTGACAAATTACACCTGTTTGGAGCAAAGGACAGCACAGGATGGGGCTAAGAACTCTGATGATTCCACACAACATGGCTGTTACTACGTATATACAAGGTGTGACCGGAAAGTTCAGTGAATGGTCACAGAAATCAGATAGTGAGAAATATTCGAACTTACAATCGGCATCGGAAACCCAAGAAATGCTCACAATTGTGTCCAGAGATGAAGCTGTAACTCGAAAGACAGTGTATGAGTAGTTTAAGCATTTCTGTGAAGGGCAGCAAACCATCAGAGATGATCCGTGGTCTAGCAGACCGGCGGCAAGCAGAACGGCGGCAAACGTCAACAGAGTTCATGAGTTATTGATGCGGGATCGGCGTCTGTCCATCCAAATGATGGTGGAAGAATTGCATATTCCGCGTGAAGTCGTTACTGAGGTTACTAAGTTGTCCCACCCTCCATATTCTCCTGTTCTGGCCCCAACAGATTTCTTTCTTTTTCCAAAACTGAAATTTGCACTGAAAGGGCACAGATTTTCCAACATTTCACGCGTCCAAGCTGCTGTGATGAGGGAACTGAAAGCAGTATGAGAAGAGGACTTCTCCAGAAGTTTCCAACAGTTCTACGAATGTTGTCAGCGGTGCATTGTATCAGAGGGGGCCTACTTTGAAGGCCTGGAAGGTGTGTATATTCAAATATTTCTGTGACCATTCACCGAACTTTCCGGTCACACCTTGTATGTTGGAAAGTGGCCTATCTGTTTGTTCCCTATGGGTTTGGCTGCCTCTCAAGATATCTTAGCCATACTCGCACAAGGGTTCCCGAGGTTCTTTGAGAACTGCTAATGGCTCTGCTGTAGCTTTCCCACCTCACTCTGCCTCTGTCTTTGCCGCCTCAGGCAGCTGCAGCTGATATGTCAGAGTGTGGCACCTATGCGTGTTTCAGATAGTGGGGATGAGGTCTATAAAAACTTGCACTGTTTCAAAAACCCTAATCCATCTGCGGAGCCATACACGTTTCCACTTCTGTATTTACAATAGCAACTGCAGCTAAATCTCAGTGGGAGTCTATTGTCCTTTCACTACTGCTGCTGAGGTGAATAACGTCTTATTTTGCCCTCAAGGGCCATTGGGAGCCTGAAGAATGTGAAAGAATGAGTCCAAAGTTAAAGCCACCATTCCTGGCATTCTTCCATTTGTGTAGCCCCTTCAGACCCAAACGGTGGCTTTAGCTTTTACGTTGCTTCCTGCCGCCTCAGCTACTTTACTGTAGTTCTGAGGTGAAAGGAATTTATTGTGAGAGGGCAAATTCCCTGTGGAGCACCCACCTCTTTCCCTTCATCATTTCAAATGTGCAATTGTTGAAAATTTCTCCCAAACAGCAAAGCAAAAAATATGGCTTTGAAACTATACCCAGGGCCAGGTCTCTCTCGATCTCTCTCTTTCCTGCTCTCTCTCGTTCCCTCTCTGTCTAACTCCAACACATAATTTTTTGCATAGTTTCTCCCTAAACATGAAGGACAATGGGGAAAAGGGGGAAAAAACACATTCATCCAAAACAAGAGTGGCAGCTGAATTACCCTGCTAAAAGTTGACATTCTGAGCAGCGTGTAAAAGATAATAGGACAGAGATCTTTCCTGACAAGTGCAGAAACCACCAGCTTTTTTATTGTGCAGCTTTAGTGCACAATCCATTATTGTCAGCATCATAGTTCTGTCTTGGATGTGACAACCTTATTTTTCCTAAAGGATTTAATTATGTTGAATACAATCTCCCTCATAAACTTAGTGTACAGTTATAGGTTCAATCCGGCTTGACACTGGATACCTGTGGTGAAGTGCGGAATGACTTTAGCTGTCATTTCAATCAAAGGATGTTTTCTATCTGGAAGCAAACCTGGGGAATGCAAATATATTCTCAGATATATTTCGTGAGCATGGTTAGATGCCTTTGCCACTCTCTTTCCTGAGCAGGGCAACTGTTTTGGAAAGTTACATGTTCAGAAAGTTGATGGTGGACATTACTGAAGACACAAAGGGCTGTTAGACTACATTTCCTATCATCCATGACTATTGCCCAGCCTGGCTGGAACTGATGCGAGTTGGAGTCCAACAACATCTGGAGGGCTCAAGTTTGGCCAGGTTGCTGTAGATCATACCTAGCTCGGTGGACCAATGGTCTGTCTCTGTATGAGGGTGATTCCTATGAGTACCTGTGTAGCTTAAAGCACAGCTTCTATGTTGCAATTCTGAGTTGCCATATGTCCTCTTTTTCCAGGACATAGCAATGCAAAGTTAAAAGTAGAAGTCTGCAAATGTGTCTACTTTTTTGCTCTTCAAAATATGACAACCATAACTGGAGGTGGTGGTAAGGTGTGGGGGGGGACAGGACGTGGGTAGCACTGTGGTCTAAACCACTGAACCTCTTGGGCTTGCTGATCAGAAGATCAGTGGTTCGAATCCCCACAATGGGGTGAGCTCCCATTACTCTGTCCCAGCTCCTGCCAACCTAACAGTTTGAAAGCACACCACTGCAAATAGATAAATACATATCGCTGCGGTGGGAAGGTAAACGGCATTTCCGTGCGCTCTGGTTTCTGCCACGGTGTTCCATTGCACCAGAAGCGGTTTAGTCATGCTGGCCACATGACCCAGAAAGCTGTCTGTGGACAAACATCGGCTCCCTCGGCCTGAAAGCGAGATGAGCACCACAACCCCATAGTCGCCTTTGACTGGACTTAACCGTCCAGGGGTCCTTTACCTTTTTTACCTTCTCCACCTGTCTCCCACCATTTCCTGGTATGATTCTATTTACTTATTTCCCAGCGACACGCATATATGCGGTTGCATGCGAGACGATCGCACGTAAGTGTGGGGCGAACACCTATATTGTCTCCACTGGCTGGCAGTAGTTCTCCAAGGTTCCAGCCTGGAGCCTCTCCTAGCCCTATGAGGAGAAACCAGGGATTGAACTTGGGTTCTTCTGCATGGAAAGCCGATGCTGTGCCACTGAGCCCTTCCCCAAGCTCTGGGAAGCACTATAGGAGCAGAGAGCCAGGTTGTCTTTGGATCAGGCAAGACACATGGTAACACAGAAGCCACAGAACCCCTCTCAGCATAGGTAAAGGACCCCTGGACGGTTAAGTCCAGTCAAAGGTGACTATGGGGTTGCGGCGCTCATCTCACTTTCAGGCTTAGGGAGCCAGCATTTGTCCACAGACAGCTTTCTGGGTCATTTGGCCAGCATGACTAAACTGCTTCTGGCACAAGGGAACACAGTGACAGAAAGCAGAGCGCAGGGAAATGCTGTTTACCTTCCCGCCACAGTGGTACCTATTTATCTACTTCAACTGGCGTGCTTTTGAACTGCTAGGTTCCAGGAGCTGAGACAGAGCAACGGGAGCTCACCCCATCACAGGGATTCGAACCGCCGACCTTTTGATCAGCCACCCCGAGAAGCCACAGAGCCACTTGCATCCCTCTCAGCATAGGGTTGCCAGGTCAGGAGCATCTGAAACCCTGAGGTGTTAGGGCCCAATCCTGAGATATAGGGGTGGCTCCTGGTTATTCTTCACCTGGTTATTCTTCACCTATTCTTCCCACCACTGAAACCTGAAGGTAGAGGTTAATTGGGAGAGAAGCAGGCGGAGGAGGGCAGACCTACCCCACCCCCTCCGAGTATCTATGCAATATTTTGCTGCCATCTCCTGCAAGCTGCAGTCATAGTCTTCTTCTTTTTTTAAGGTACACCCACCCACCTGGAGATTCAAGCCCTCCTCTGCCAGCTGGAAGAGGCTAGGCAAACCTAGAGACTTCAGGTCAGACCTGAAGGTCTGGCAACACTATCTCAGCATGCACTGCCGAACCGAAACTCAGTGTGGATGGAGGATTTTCCATTGACAGCCATGCACTGAGGAAAATGAAGGTCACACAATTTGGCCCGTAATAAATGGTGTGTAGTAAGCATTACAGTATAAAAGGGAAATGCACTATAAATTTGTAGTTTCACCATACTGGCTCAGATCCAGTTCTACCAATATTCTGATATTGCCATCTTGTTTAACTACCCCCAGAGAATATTAGTTTTATCCATATTCAATGAACAAACCCATATGTTCACTGAGAGAAAGAAAGAATTGGGTGTTGTTGTTTTTTTAAAAAAGTCTTCTTTCAGTTAATTTTAACTTCATTATTAAGATGAATTGTAATGCTGTTTAAAGCCCCAGAGGCAAACTGGCTTCATTTGATTTCTTCTGGTAGATGAGAAAAACTGTTAGTAGTTGCAATCTTCTGTGAAATGTATCTTGTGCTCTTGAGCTTACATTTTTAATGTGCCTTTCAAACTAAAATTGATTTGCTTCTTTCTCTTAAAATAAAAAACAATGCATCTTTTATGAGAAAATGAACACCTTTGATTTCTTCTCCTGGTAGGGAGATGCTAGTTAACTTGAAATCTGCAAGGACAGCCTGCAGACTTATTAATCATTGTATCAGAAATCCACATTTTTCTCCCATTAATTTATTTCCTATTGCTACATGTCACAATAAGATATACAATATCACTGGTAAATTACTGTGGATTCAGCATGTCACAGACAACTGCTTATAGTGAATAACCTGATAATCACAATGCCATTGCTCAAGCTGTTCACTTCTTATACGGGACTAAATATAGTTGCATTTTTCAGTATATGGACATTTTATATAGATAGATAGAATTCTCTGTGTTGCAATTTATTGTGAAATTTACCTTTCGCGGTTCCCGAGAGCTTATATTGTAGTATGCCCCATTCAAATAAATTAAGGCCAAACAGAGTGTCTCAAAGGATAAAGTGTATGGCTTGGGAAATGCAAACTTTTCTGCAGCTGACTTGTGGGTGGCCTTAGTTGTATACAGCACGTATAACAGTAATACGGGTGGCACTGTGGTCTAAACCACTGAGCCTCTTCGGCTTGCCGATCAGAAAGTCGGTGGTTCGAATCCCTGTGATGGAGTGAGCTCCCTTTGCTCTGTCCCAGCTCCTGCTAACCTAGCAGTTCGAAAGCACACCAGGGCAGGTAGATAAATGGGTATCGCTGTGGTGGGAAGGTAAACAGCATTTCCATGTGCTCTGGCTTCCATCACGGTGTCCCATTGCGCCAGAAGCAGTTTAGTCATGCTGGTCACATGACCCGGAAAGCTATCTGTGGACAAATGCCAGCTTCATCGGCCTGAAAGCGAGATGAGCACAGCAACCCCAGAGTCACCTTTGACTGGACTTAACCGTCCAGGGCTCCTTTACCCCCCACTTTTTTTCTTACAACAGTGACCTAGCTTCCTGGGATTTTAGCAAGATGCAGTGCTATCCACCTTTAGCTTTCTAAAGGTATATTGCAAACACAAAACTCCCATTCTGGATTGAGAGCCTTGCATGGTGGTAGGTAAAGGGACCCCTGACCATGTCCAGTTGTGGCCGACTCTGGGGTTGTGGCACTCATCTCGCTTTATTGGCCAAGGGAGCCGGCGTTTGTCCGGGTCATGTGGCCAGCATGACTAAGCCACTTCTGGTGAACCAGACCAGCACACGGAAACACCATTTACCTTCCCGCTGGAGTGGTACCTATTTATCTACGTGCACTCTGATGTGCTTTTGAACTGCTAGGTTGGCAGAAGCAGGGACCGAGCAACAGGAGCTCACCCCGTCTCAGGGATTCAAACCGCCGACCTTCCAATCGGCAAGTCCTAGGCTCAGTGGTTTAGGCTCAGTCCTAGGCTCAGTGCCACCCGCGTCCCCTTGCATGGAGATACAGGGCCTGAATTCTTTGCACCCTGCTGTGGTCCTATTCCAGATCAGCCCCATGCCGCCCCGCCCAAGCCTGATATTTGCAACGGGGAGGAAGAATTCCCATTCGCTGTAATGAGGTTCCTCCCAACCCACAATGAAAATAGTAGGCATGGAACAGAAATGTGATGGGGTCAAGGGTTTATGGGCTCCACACCAGGATTCAAAGTTTGTATCTGCCCCTGTGACTGCAGTTTATTTTTAAAGAGGTAATCGCTGCCATTTTGAAGCATGCGGTAAGTGTTGTTGTTGTTGTTTAGTTGTTTAGTTGTGTCTGACTCTTCATGACCCCATGGACCAGAGCACGCCAGGCACTCCTGTCTTCCACTGCCTCCCGCAGTTTAGTCAAACTCATGCTGGTAGCTTCGAGAACACTGTCCAACCATCTCGTCCTCTGTTGTCCCCTTCTCCTTATGCTCTCAATCTTTCCCAACATCAGGGTCTTTTCCAGGGAGTCTTCTCTTCACATGAGGTGGCCAAAGTATTGGAGCCTCAGCTTGAGGATCTGTCTTTCCAGTGAGCACTCAGGGCTGATTTCCTTAAGAATGGATAGGTTTGATCTTCTTGCAGTCCATGGGACTCTCAAGATTCTCCTCCAGCACCATTGCGGTATGTACAAAATGTACAGATAGAATTAAAGATGGAACTTGTTCCACAGCTTTAAAACTGGAAATTTGGCCATGCAAAATGCATGAATTCACATGCCCCTCCCTCTGTTCTGTAGCAGGATGGAATTTAAGCCATTTCACTCAGTTAACACATTTTTGTAGCCGCAAATTCTATACAAAAACACAAGAAGCCTTTCTGAATCCCTTGCTAACCTCCATGTGGCTCTTACTTCAAGCTGGTTATTTATTTTTTTAAAAAATGAGTTCCACATACTGTGAGCACAGGTGCAATAGTAGAATGCCAAGTTTCTGTTAAAAACTTTTTTAGTACATACACTAAAAATATCATTTGCAAATAGTAATAAAACATAGCCCATGGCACACAGAGTTGGTTGAGTATGTAACTTGATATTGACAAGTTCTGGAGTGCCAGAGTGTGTAAAGTTTTCTTAGTATAAGTTAGATCTTTCACTAGTTACGTATTAGAATATTTCTTTTCAAGCAATAAAAACTTTATAAAGTAAGAGAGTAAAAAAACAGAAAAGACAGAATAAGGTGAAGGCTGTACAGATTCAGCTCATAGATTACTACTCTGTCAAACCCCCAAAACATTTAATGTTGCAAGATTGTATTACGCTTGTAAATATGATAATATCTAATATAAATTTCTTCAAGATGGTGATTATTAAGTTGCGGGTGAACATATCAGACGACACAGCGATTCTTCAAACAGCTCTTGTTTATTCAGAGGCCAGAACAGAACTGAACTGAAGGGCTCAGTCAGCCTGCTTATATAGAGCTCCAGTACAACGTTACTGTAGCAACTTTCTAAAACTATCCAATCACTGAACGTCACTTTCAAACCTTCATTTGCATAACTATCTACAGTATCCCCCTGCTGGCCCAGGGTGAGAACTTCAGTACATAACAGTGATATCATTGTTATACCAGGGTTCAGACTTTAGGAATCCTCTAATTTCCTAATGCAATAATTTATTCTAATTTACCATACACCTCTTGGTTATGAATTGATTCTCTTTCCGGGAATGTTTGCTGTCTATGAGCTTTTAACACCATTCTATTATTTTACTTCCACTGTGGAAATGCAACCAAATTTCCATAATTTTTTTGGGGGGGTGGGGATATAACATTTTGTGTGTGTGTTAACACCATCCACACAACTGAATGTAACATGGCTGTGTGAGCAGGAAATAATCACACTACTAAGCATACTAGTATTATGTAGTTTTTAAAATTTCCACCCAGAAGCTTTTTCATTCAAGCACTATTGCATTAATATCTTTAAAATGAAAAGGTGGGAAAGCCTGAGTGCAATTTTTAAATGAAAATTTGAAAACCACACTGTTAAAATGTCACCACAAACCAGAAAAGTGATAGTGAATATGTGCTAAAGTGACTAAGCTTGGAGATGAAGGTCAACAGCCTAAAATGTCACTGTACGCATCAAGACCACACTTCTTTTAAAAAAGGAAAAAGATGGAAAGGTGATTAACACCTGAAGAGATAGAGCTACTGTTCTATTCCTTATTTCCCTTAAGCATTTTGTGAGTTCTGAAAGCTCACAGGGAACAT